CGGGATTGCCCGCCGGCAATACCCGCCTGCCGACCGCAGCCAGGCCGGGCCCGCGCCTCCTGCAGGCTGCTTCCCAGCAACCTGTAAATGCAAGGGCGCTGCTGGTCCTGTGAACAAGGGCTGTCTATGAGTGTGGCAGCCTGTGCTCAGGGAAACACAGCGCTCCGGAGCTGTTTGGGAAATTTTCTCCTGGTAGGTATACTGTACAGCATTGCAGAAACTTACACGGGCTGCTAACACGGGGTTAAAAAGAGCATTAAAAGAGCCAAATAGCTACTAGCCTGTGTAAAGATTTTATGTTAACTCCCCTAGCTCCTGACTAAGAGCTCCCCCTCGGCTCTCATGAGACCCCCTCGCCTTGGAGTACTGTTGCCAGCTCTGCAGTCCGCGGTGCAGGGAAAGGTGTGGATATGTTGCAGCAAGTTTAGAGGGCAGAAAATTTATCAAAGGGCTGGAACAGATATCCTATGAGGAAAAGGTGAAAAAGCGGGTGTTTTATCAAGAGGAGAGAAGGTTTTTGGTAGTGAGAAAGTGGATTATAAGAAAGATTGGGTCAAACTTCTTAGCAGGGCCTGTAGCTATAGGAGATGAGGTTGTGGTTTTAAACTACAAAAGAATATATACTGAAGAATTCTTTTATGAGGAGGGTGGTACAGGTTGCCCAGAGAGGTCTTAGATACCCCATCCCACTGAAGACATTCAAGGTCAGTTCAGACAGGGCTCTGAGTTATCTGATGTGGTTGAAGATGTCTGTGGCCTTTGCGAGAAGTGGTTGGACTAGGTGACCTTTAATGCTCACTTCCAAACCAACCTTTTCAGTGGTTCAATGGTTCTGTGGCTGTGCTGCCACTTGACATGAACCTGAAAACAAATGGACTCTGCTCTGTCTTACAGGAGGCATCTAGTTGTGTGTGTCACTTTTCAGAAACTGTAGCTGCTAGCTGAAGGAAGCTATTGAAAGTACTTATGGTGGTTGCTAGCGTAAAACTATTTATGGATACCATTACACCAGTTCCAGATAATGTTACCATTTACAATTAGTATGACATACTCATAGAACTTTACTTCTGCAAGATCTTTCCATTCTGTCTCTACCACAAAGGAATTATCTGCTGTGTACGTGACATCTCTTTGCATGGACTGGCTAACCAATTTGTACCAATAGACCCACTGAATTACCTACTATGTTGTGCTTTTTCTGAGCATGTTATACTATGATAATAGCGTAAAGAAAGAGAAGAGGAACAAAAGCATAGATGCAGAATAAGCAACAGAACTAAAGAGGTCTGAGCTAATTTACTTTCTGTAAACATGCCGTTCTGGCATGTTTCACTCTCCTAAAATAACCAAGTTGTTGACAATATTTTTGCTTTAGGGAGAGGAGAGACCTATTTCCATTCTCATTTAAAGAAATTAAGGGGCAACATTTGTGCTTATATCTGGAGTATTTTATCTGCACCCTGAAGAGTTTTCCATTGTTAATGCCTGTTGCACTTGTTGTGCTAAGTACAGATGCATAAGAATTAAGTATTAAGTACCCAGAATGAACCCTCTACTCTAGAAAAAAACAAACAAACAAACCCTCAATTATAATTTAACACAAAAGCAGGATTAAACTTTTCAAACCTAGGTTGTTTGTGAATGTGAAAATAGGTAGTAATTATGTATAACAGGAATGCTTAATAAATATGCAAAATATCTATGATATTATTACTTAGGGCTTTAGTTAGTCATACAGAGATATGAATATGTATTTAAGTGTTATAGTTCTGTGGATATTGTTAATGGGCAGCTTCAGGGGGATGCATGTCTTATCACAGGGTACAAAATTCTCCACACCTGGGACTTCTATTGCCTCTTTCCCTCCTTTTGTCTTATAGACACTATAGAAGAGTACTGGGTGGTATAATGAGTGATTAAAGGGCACTTGTGACATAAAGTGTTTAATAAGCTGAATGATCAATTTTCATGATGCTTATCCTGCCTATAACACCTAATTGAAATATATTCATAGTGGAAAAGCTCCTGTGTCTTTGTTTTAAGAATATTATTTACAGCATTGATTCATACCTTTAATCTTCTGTTCTTCCTTGTATTTACTTGCTCACTTTTTATTCTGGTTTCTTCCTTTTTCTCTTCAGTTTTCTCTGGTTTTTCACATTCACCCACATCATCTTCAGCTCTCTGACATTTCAGTCTGTTGATGCACACAAACATTCTGCCAAAACAAGTTAGCTAGAAATAGGGCCATCCTTAGTGACTGCTCCACTTTCAGCACTACATTGTACCAACTGTGATTGACAGAGCTCATGCTGTCAAGCCTAATAGTTCCTAAGTGGTGATTAACTGGGCTAGTGATACACAGATGGGGGCTGATGGACACCTAACTTTCCGCTGCGTTAATCCCACCCAGGTGCAGATCCTTTACTCTTTCAGAAATTCCACACTGGAAAATTTACTATGATTTGGTAATTATTGTAGTGGTATGGTTCATTTTGCCTCTACTCACCTCAGTTATGAGCTCTGCTGAGTCTCACCCTGAGGAAATATAAAATGCGGGAGCTGCATCAAGTCAAGAGAATGGAAGCAAAACATCTGCAATGAATCTGCCAAAAGTCTGATGCTTTGTCTAAACAGTATGAAATGGCAACTCAAGTTATGGAATTTAGGAAGCAAGTACTGGACCTGTGTTCCAAGAACATATAAGGATGTTTTAAACGATGTTACTCTCCTGGGCAATATCTTTACATCATGC